ACACACACACACACATATATAGTGTGTGTGTGTGTGTATATGGTACATATACATATATAAATTGTTGGTAGCTCCCCTTCCCCAAAGATCAGCTCTTTTCCATAATCATCTGTATTAGTGTCGACAAACAGTTACAGGTTCATATTACTTTGAGAATTAAATATGTAATTGTAAAATTCAAGCAAGCAGAAGGGCAAGAGGAAAAAGCACTATGTGGATGGCACATTTAGGGGTAACTACCAAAACATTCTATCTTTACGAGTCGCCGGTTCCCTCTTTTGCAGACTGAGTTTCAAGGATATTCCTTCTTTATTGTGAGCACAGTCCAAAATACACTAGACAGATTTCCATAATGATGATCGTACTTGGTAGTTTAATGCTATCACCAAATGTGTTCATTGTGGAGAGTTTAGGAAGCAATGTAAGAGTGAAAGACAGTGGAACGAATGCTTGTGGAACCTGGGAACTCCTCAATATGCAAGCTGGTAAGCAGAAGAACCCCTGAACTCCCAGCCACAGCTTCTTGAGTGCACTCTATTTCACGTAATTAACTGCAGCTTCAGTGCATTCAAACTGTGCCCAATGTCTCTTTAAACAAGGGGTTCTATTAATTAGCATGAACAATTTGAACAGATTAACACAGTTTCCAATAGAAAAAGAATAAAGCCAACAAACTTGCCGCTCTTCCATCTCCAAACTCTGTAAACCTAGTGGGAAGTTTGGGCTTGAGCATGGATTTGAGTGCTTGGGATGACTGCTTATGCTTTAAACCTAAGGCAAATGGAACACAAACAGAACTGAATAAAAAGATAAACTAGCCAAAGAACTCAATAAAGGACGAACCACCAGACCGAGCACAACGCTCTGTAGGAGGAGCCTGTGGCTTCAGTCTTCTTTTTCAGGTAGATAAGCTCTGTTCTGAAAGTGAGTGTTGGACCTAAGGCCTGTAGTTGGAGGAGGACAGTGGGGAGGGGAGTCCACCTCGACTGTCACTGAAGTGCTTTGACAAGATACAACTTTTCCCCGTGTTCACTGGTGAAGATCGGTGCCTTTTTGTAGTGTTCCACCAACTCATCCATGGTGTGAAATCGCCGCTGCCCGATACAGTAGACATTGTCCACGAGCTGCACCTTGAAATGCTTGTTCTTCCCTGATGCTTTAAGAGAGACGGAGAAGTCACTGGGCTGGGAAGGAAGTAAAACACAACAAGTTATGAGCTGGTCACAGATGGGAAACTCCAGAAACACTCAAGTCACCCATAAATGGCAGTTCTTTACTTTGTGAGCATTAACTTCTTGACTCTTAAATATTTTAGGTACCACACTCAGAATCTTATCCAAACCACCCTACAGCTCCCCAGCCAGGTCTCTGTTAACACCAATAACAGCATCTGAGGTTGAGAATGGCCAGAGATGCATTCCAAGGTTCTGATGTTCTGAATCAAAGAAAAATTAAATTTTGCTTAGTACTGTTTTATACTGAATGAATTGGTTACATGAAAGTTGAGAACTCATCATGGAATGCATAGCACCTGTGTTAACCTGAATACTGAGGAAACATGAAGTTTTCACTTCCCAAGCTATTTTTGACTGGAATTTACTGAAAGTGGTTTGTGTATAGAGAATGGAAACGTATTTTGCCAACTAGGTACCTTAAAAATAGCAGAACTCTGACGTCAAAGATGATCATATGAACCAATCCTATCCACATAATATTCCAAACAGCAAAAAACAAGTAATCATTTGATTGCACAATTCTCAAATCATTACTATTTTCACAGAGTTAAACACAACGAATGTCCGCTAGTCTCAGTATTACCATTCAAATTAACTGTTCAGTGTGGCTTTGAATATTGAACAAACTAAAACAGGTGCTGCCTGACAGTTACTCCACACACAGGCAAGGCTGAAGTGCCAGCATCTTTGTCATTGTCACTATGATTAGTCCTTGCAGATCAGGAATGCCACCATTGGAGATCATATTGCATTAGTGTAGCAACAGGATACACAGCTAACAAACTCTTGTCTGATGGTTTCAGGTTTTCCCTAAAGTAATTTTTATTTTTAGTTTCAAGTACCTCACTATTAATAGTCTAAAAGTATGTATTTTATAAACACAAACACACACACAACTTTTCTCCACCATAAGTTGTACCTTTAGGAAAAACTGAGGGGATCTCATTTTAAAGTTTACCATGAGCCAGGCACTGTGCAAGTTTTATAGATATAGGCAGTAGCCAGGTTAAGAGCAAGATCTTTTCCTAACTAAGTCTTTAAGAATTTGTAGGTAAGTCAGAACAGCTGTATAGACGTCTTATTTAGCCCTACTTTAGTGCAAGAAAGGAGCTCTAGTGATGCAGTGCCTAAGGCATTTGACTGCTAACCAGAAGGTTGGTGGTTCAAACCCACCAGCCACTCCATGGAAGGACTATGGGGCAATCTGCCTTCGTAAAGATTTACTGCCTTAGAATCCCAATGGAGTTGGAGCAACTGAGTTGGAACAACTTGATAGCAGTGGGTTTGGTTTGGGTTTTTTTAGTGCAAGAAAAGCCTTGAAGTCTTTTCAGTGATTTGAAAGCTGCATATGCAACAAGTGAAGGTGACTGTGATGAAGAATTTGGTGTGTGTGTGGGGGGTGGTGGCCTGTACTCTGATTCACAGAAACTGTATTATCATTTTTCAGTAGAGGTAGTATGTGAATGGATCCTAGTAAGTACATGATAGACCCAATTTTAATTAAGCCAAATGATCATCAAATGATTTTTCAAACAGGGAGATTTGCTTTTAATTTAAGCACCTTAATTTAACATCATGATGTGTGTGTATGTTACAGCAGTAAAACTGAGGCAGCAGAAAAGATCATTTTTAATTTCATGGGCTCCTAAGCAGAAATCAGGTGAGGAAACAGCACCAACTTCATTTATGCCAAGTAGGAGTGTTCAAAATTTAGGGTGTTCTTAATTCCAACTGAGTGGATTTTCCTGAGTATCAGTGAATGAACAATCTGCATGTTTTCATACACTGTTACATGTTATCACGGAAGAACATGAAATCAAATGTGAAGATGAACTAGAACAGTGGTCCTCAAAATGTGCTCCCTAGAACAACAGCATTAAGCATCATCCAGGACCTTGTTAGAAATGCATACCCCTCAGTCCTCACTCCAGAACTACTGAATCAAAAAACTCTAGAGGTGGGGCCTGGCAATGTGTGTTTTAAAGTCCCTCTGGATGATTCTCATGTAGTCTGAGAACTGAAAAAAATTTGCACCAACCACCACCAGTATTTTGAAATGTTCAGCGCCACCAAAAAAAGATGTGTATAGCCAGTTGCAATTTATGGGCTAAGCAGCCCCGTGTTGGAGGAAACACTGCTGACTTCACCCACACTGTAGATGCCTCTCTGATTCTGTCCTAGAGCTGGTCCTGCTCCAGACATTCCTTATTCGGAACGTCCCTAATGGAGAATGCCGTAAGGTCTCTTCAAGTTGAGCCAGTTCCCTGGATCTGATGGAGATGGAGTTATTCCCAGTCCCATACAACTCTGCCTCCAGGGAACACAGAGCACAAAGCTCAGCAAAGCCAACTCCACCAGTCCTACTCACAACCTCCATAGTTCTTTCATGCCAGGTTTTCTAAAACAGACTTAAAGAAATCAGACTGAAGAAAGGCCATGCCACAGCACACCCCCTCAGAGAAGAGTAGTGTAGCATTATGATGATACACTACTCTACATTTAAGCTGTCAAAGACTCTTAACACATTTTGTTTAAATATCTACATTGAGAAAGAGGACCAAAGCAAATATCAGCTAGTTTTGGGTGTTACTATTTGGAGTCACAGAAGTTTGTTCTGCCTATACAGTTCTCTCTCCTTCAGAGGATGGCTCATACAAGGTATTTAACATGAGCTCTCTATGCCGGGGCACAAGGCTGAAGCTGGTCAAGTCTCTGTCACTGGACATTAATGTGCCATGATGGTTTCTGACATGGAAAGAGTGCTGGCTTGGGGAACTCTTATGCATGGCTGGTAAGTGCATAAATGAATACTACTGCTTTGCTACACAGTATCTGCATGAAGCTGAAGACAGTCATTGTCAGGAACCCAGCAATTTCATTTTGGAAATGTGCTACTGAGAAATGTATGTATGTGTATACTAGGATTTATGTTTAAGAATATCCACGGCAAAGTAGCCAACAAACACATGAAAAGATGCTTGCAATTATCGGTCATTACCAAACAAACCAAACTCACTACTGCTGAGTCAGGCCCGACACATAGTGACCCCTCCTTGGGTTTCCAAGGCAGTATCACTATGGAAGTAGATTGCCCAACCTTCCTTCTGAGGAGTGGCTGGTGGGTTTGAACTGCTGGCCTTCTGGTCAGCAGTCAAATGCCTAAGGCACTATGCCACCACAGTGAGATCATCTCACCCCTACAAAAACAGCAGTAATCAAAAAACCAAAACAAATGCTGGCAAGATTGTGAGGAGACCGGAATCCTTTTCCACTACTGTTGAGATTGAACAATGGTACAATTACTATTGAAAACAGTATAATGCTTTCTCAAAAAGCTAGAAATAGACATACCTTATGATCCAGCAATCCCACTCCCAGATCCTTCAAGATCTAATAGTGGTGATGTGAATAGACATATGCATACCTAAGTTCACTGCAGCATTATTTAAAAATATAGCAAACATATATAGCAAAAATATAGAAACAAGCTAAGTGTCCATCAAAGAATGAACAGATAAAAATAATGTGGCATATACGTACAACTGAATACTACACAGCTATAAATAATGATGAGTTTGCAAAATGTAACATGAATTAATCTGGAAATAAGTAAATCACTGAGGGAAATAAGTAAATCATGAAAAGACAAATACCGTATGATCCCACTTGCATAAAAAAGACAAAAATAAATATACATACAGAAATCAACATTCTTTGGTGGTTACCAGGCATAGGAGGAGGAGGAAAGGGGAAAGTGTCTACTCTAGGCAGCAGACACTTGTTATTTTTGGTGTGGGTGAAGTGTGCACAAGATGGCCAAAGTAAATGATGACACTAAGAAGTACACAAGAATATAGGAAGTTATTGGTAAGGGCTATAACATACACAATTTTGCAATAGTAACATTAACAACCAAAAAATACATGACTGGTTACATAGGTAGATATGTATGCATATATCTGTATAGGAAAGTATATGTATACTATACACGTGTACAGGTTTATCTGTAAGCATATGTATATACACGTTTGTGTGTGCTGAGCATAAATTAATCTATGTAATAAAGCACATAGGAAGCACAGCCATTGGTACCTCCCAGACATAACCAAACAACTCATGAGACTGGTTTATTGGATTAGAAGGCTTGGGGCCATAGTTTCAGGAGAAAACTTAAGTGGTATAATGTAGTTCACAAAGATAATGTTCTGCATCCTAGTTTGGTGAGTAGTGTTGAGGGTCTTAAAAGCTTGCTAGCAGCTGTTTAAGATAAAACTATAGGTCTCTACTCATCTGGAGCATAAGGAGAAAGAAGCATATCAAAGACTCAAAGAAGAAACAAGTCTATGGGACTAAAAGCCCACTGAAACCACAGCCTCTCCTAACCCGAGACGAGAACTGGATGGTACCCAGCTACCACTATTGACCATTCTGATCAGAGACACACTAGATGGTACCGGATAGAATGGGAGAAAAATGTAAAATAAAACCAAAATTCTTAAAAAAAAAAAAAGGCCAGACTTACTGGACTGGGTGAGACACTAGAGGAACCACGGAAGCTACTGTCCAGAGATACCATTTAAACTTTGAACTGAAACTACTCCTGAAGATTTCTGTTCAGCTGAATAACAGATTAGCTCATAAAATAAATAATATTACCCAGGAGTTCTGTGCTCCTTTAGAACAACCAGAATGGAAATTATGAGAATGGTGACTTAATGAAGAAAATGTAGCCAATGTCACTGAACAATATGTATGTTGTTGTTATGTGCCGTCTAGTCGGCCCCAACTCATAGCGACCCCTCCTTGGGTTTCTGAGGCAGTATCACTACGGAATGTATAGCAACTGTCAAATGGGAACCTAATTTGCCCTGTAAACTTTCACCAAAAACAGTATTTAAAAAAAGGAATATAGGTAAAAGTAAAGTAAACATGGTATTTTAGGTAAATTA